CACCGGGCGGCGCCCTGGGAAACCGAGCGTTGAGCGTGACCGGCTCTCCCACTCCTGGCATCCGTGAGAATGGACCTGCGGGCACCAACACCCTGTGCACGCGTGTGTGGGGACACACGTGTCCACGTCTCTCGTCTGGACTTGTGCTCAGGGCGGGTGGGCACACAGGGGGCCTGGGCTTCTAACCCGTCCCTGCGACAACCAAGGGACACAAAGCGGCCACGAGCCACGTGTGTGTGAAGCTGAGCGACCCGCCTCACGAACTCAGGCCGACCTGCTGTCCACACGCAGCGTGACCACCTGCCGGCCCCCGATCGAGGTTCTGCCACGCGTGCACGCGGACATGCGTGGAAGGAGGGTGTGATGCCACGCGACATTCCTCTGGGAACGAGGGATATGGAAGACTCGGAAGTGTCACACTGTGTATCGGTCAGAGCCACGTGTCTGGTGTCCTCATTAGGGACGCCCTCCTGAACCATGTGGCACTGCACAGAATGCGATGTGAGCAGCGCAGGAACCCTCCGAGGCCCCTGAGGCCCTCCAAGCCCCCCAAGACCCTCCGAACCCCCCAAGACCCTCTGAGTCCCCCAGGACCCTCCAAGACCCCTGAGGCCCCTCGAGCCCCCTGAGGCCCCCTGAGCCCCACCTTTCAGCGTGGCCTTCTTCAGCACCTTCATGGCGTACAGCTGCCCGGCGTCCGGCCCCACGGCCTTGCGCACCAGGAACACCTGCAGAGGGAGACGGGACATGATCGGCCGCGCGTCCTTCTCCCCGTGTCCTGCCTGGACAAGGGACACACGGAGTCTGCGGAGCTTCCGACACAGCGAATGCGCACAGGGAAGGGGTAAGTGCAGCGTGTTCTCCAGCAGCCGGGAGGCACTCCCCTTGCTCCCACGGCTCTGTGGCGACATGTGTGTGCATGTGGCGATGTGTGTGCACATGTGGGTGCATGTCTGGCGACGTGTGTGTGCGTGTGTGTCAACGTGTATGTGCGTGTGTCACAGGAGAATCGTGTTGTTTCTGGTGCTGTGACCCTCCCACTAAGCATTTCATGTCAGAAGGAATCCACCTCCTTTTTAAACACAAGAACTCACTGTTCCAAGGGGCCTGCCCGGTTCCCTGTGAGCACCCCTCGGGCCCCTTGGGGGGCCCCCCGAGTTATTCTGAGGGCAAAGATCCTGCTCCCCGGTTTTGCGCTTTCTTCACCCACATTTCAGCTTTGAGGTGCTTGAGCTCACAGCCTGGTCTCCACGTGGCTCCCAGGGGCACATGGACAGTGAACGGCACTTTCTCAGCATTTCAGACCCGCATCAGGCCGACAGCCATGTCACCCGCGTTAGGGGCGGGGACAGCGTGTGTCACCCACGTTAGGGGCGG